GTTAGTTTGACACAACCTAGAATCACCTGAGTAGAGGGAACCCCAACCAAATAGTATCGACTAGATCAGATTGGCCTATGGCCACATCTGTAAGTCATGGCCTTGAGTGCTAACTGATCAAGGGGGACCAAGCCCACTGTGGGTGGTGCCATCCCTAGGCAGTTGGGCCTGTGTAGTGGGTAGCCATTCCAGCTTTGATCTGAAAGTTCCAACCCCCATTGAGACTTCGGCAACTGTCATGCCTACAAGGCGGGGCCAAGGGAGGCACCTGGAGACCTGGGATCTGGATGGGCAGCGCACGCACTCGGTTCGGGACCTTGGATGGTGAAGGTGGGCCAAGCAGAGCTCCAGAGAACACCGCTGGACTGTGAAATTATTAAGGCCACTCCACGTAGTTAAAAGGAGATTTATTTAATGGCGTAACTTACAAGTTAAGGGATAGGTAGGTCGCGGGGTCTGGGGAAGGTGTATGGCAGTCCAGCGGTGTTCTCTGGAGCTCTGCTTGGCCCACCTCCACCTTCCAGGGTCCCGGAACAGAGAGAGCACCCGCCGATCCAGATCTCAGGTCTCCAGGCGCCTCCCTTGGCCCCGCCTTGTAGGCGTGACAGTTGCTGAAGTCTCAATGGGGGTTGGAACTTCCAGATCAAAGCTGGAATGGCTACCCACTACAGGCCTGGGCTGCCTATGAAAGCCAGTAGAGTATTGTCCAGTGAGCAGGACAGTGAGCTGGTTCCTCTCTGGTTTCTGCTTCCATTCCCACTTGCGTTCTTGTCCTAACTGCTTTCAATGATGGATTGTGACCTGAAAATGTGAGCTGAAATAAACCCTGTCCTCAGAGTGTTTAATCACAGAAACAGAAGGAAACTAAGACATTATATGTAATATGTCATATATATTGTGTAAAATTATATATGACAATGTCACAATGAAACCCTTTCATGTTACTAAAAATTGATAAAAATGGAATCAAGTTTAAAAAGGAGCTGGGCTTCCCAAGCGCTCTCTAATTGGGCAGAACACCACATCTTCCCGTGCCCACTCCTCCTGTCTGCACTGTTCTTCAAGCATGGCTGTCCTCTCACAACTTTGCATTAACTCCTCACTGCATGTTTATCAGTCACAGCCTACAAATCAACAAACGCCACTAAGAAAAGGAGTTTCATCTCCCAGAAATAACCATATTCTTATTTTTGACAACCTTCTTAGACATTGCCCAAGTATAAGTCTGTAAATGAAATAAAATGTATATCGCATCATATACAATTGCTCTAACTTATTTTCACTTAATACTTCAGTCTGCACACACACACACATACATGGAGGAACATGCAGAATAGTACTGAAAATCCTAATCTCATTGAATGGTTAACTAAAAATTTAATTAATCCCTTCTTCACAGAAAGTTCAAATTTTTCAACTTACAACATCTGGATAATCACACTCACATCTTGGTGTGTTTTATCCTTTCTTTAAAAATAATGTTGATGAAAGGATTCTTTTAACTTTAAAGTATTTGTTCCTACTACCTTCTTCTACCCAGGGAACCTACATAATGGTACACAAAGGTGACCTCTCATCATCACTTTCATTTACAATGACATTCAGATTCAAACTCAAAGTCATACAAAAAGCCCCTCAGTGTACAGATTCTGCAGTCATTTGCCCTTGCCATTGAAGGAGAGGGAGAGACTGGGATGAGGCAGGAGATGAACACAGATGGGGTGCAGAAGAGGAGGAATGAGAGGTGAAACCAAGATAGAGATAGGAAAGCAATATGGAGTTCCTGAGGGTGGTGACTCTAACTATGGGAAGAGAAGGTGGCATGGAAGCCGTCAGTGAGGGAAAGTGATGCAGAGCCTGGGAGATTGACAGTGATGCTGGTGCATCAGGGTTCTAATGCGCAGGAGGTTTGGACCAGAGAGGAAGGCACATTGTACCCACGCAAAACGACGGCAAGGAAGGATGCCTTTTGAGGGTTTTAGAAGACAGGAGTCTTGGTAAGAAGGAAGAAGAGATGAGAAGGGTACAGCTGGCAGAAGGAAGAAGGGTTTGAAGCCTACAAATAAAGCATGTTGCTCAAATGGCCAAGCCTACACCTGCAGCTTGCTAACATTTCTCAATGACTCCAACCACAGCCTGACACAGCCACCAGATTTCTCTTACTGTGCATTCATCTGTTGCCAGAAACACCCTGAAACAACTCCATTATCATGGCATCCCCTCTGTGCCATTCTAGCCCTCAAGTGGTAACCACATGGCCATCTAAAGTAGGGACTCTATCTCTAAATCCTATTGGTACCATCTCTACACCAAACCCTTCCCTGTCACGCATCCCCAACACTTCACAATTCTCAGCATGTCTTTTCCTATTCAATTCCATGGCTTTGCCTCCTCCAAATGGAGTATGTGCTTTATAGTTTTGTTGTGAAGGTTAAATGTCTTTGTTCATTATATATGGACTGTTAAATCTTCTGGCTGAAATCCTGTGCAAGTTCAAAGGTTTTAACCATGGTTACAATAATTTTCCCACTTATAAATAAAGTTATCCCTCTGATAATGTTCCCTCTCCCATTACTTACCTAGACTGAGATTCTGAGAAGCCAGTTTTTTTTCTAACTGAAATATCCATATCGGATTGAATTCAGAACTGTCCCCATAATTAACGCGTTAGAATGCTCCTTCCTTGATTCTCCAATACCCCTGTAATCCCTTGATTTAACAGTATCAACCCTTTTGTTCCTTTCTCTCATAATAATAGGCACTGTACACTTATTTGTACATCCATGGAACCTAACGTGCGCTTTACACACAGGAGGTATTTAAGAATATTGGATTTTATTCTCCCTTCTCTCATTTTACTTTAGTCTGATCTTTCTATTGCCTTAACTTTTCCATAGGGCACAAATCCATTTCACAGGGAAACAAATGGCACTTGACTTAATTGCCATTTGCAGCAATCATCATATCTGTTATTTCAGACTCTTTAAGCAAGATTTTCTAAAATCCGCCAGAGGAAAAAATTCCAAAAATGATCAGACAAGAAAAGAGCAGACCATATAAGGCATAGTGTCTTAAGTTCTTTAACTTTACATTTAAAAGTGATTTTAAGACAGGATGCTCCAAACTTTGCTCATAAGAATTCCTTTGATAAAAATCAAGCCTAAAACATTAATAAGTACAGTATCATCAATGGTTCCTCCTAATAACATGGCCCATAAGCCAGGCATGTTTACTGTCACCCCAAATGCTCTGGGGATGTTGAAAGTCACTGATAAGGTCTCTAAAACAGTACTTGCCATAAGTCTAATTTCTGCTCACTGTAAAAATGACTTTGAAATAATGTAGACAGCTACAAGAATTCAGAGAACTTTTCAGAAGACAGCCAAAGACAAGAAAATTAACTCTTTGGGGAGAAACTGAGGCTGTTTCCATGAGATAGAAGAAGCAGAAAGGCTATGAGTTTTTTATCTCCAAGTTCATGAAAGATTGTTATTAATGATCTAACCAGCAGTTGCTACTCATGGCCTCAGTGGACAGCACCAGAGGAAAAGAATTTCATCAAGAAAGATTTCAGTTAGAGAAGGGGTCCCTGCTCAGCTGGTTAAATACTGGAATGAAGGACACAAGGAATGTTGTCACTCTCTACTTCTGGAGTGTTTAGAGGAGACAATGAATTTAGCAGAGGACACGTCTACATTTGGATAGGATGGCTTCTCCAGTCACTTCAAGTGTTGATTTGTTGTCTCAGTGTCCACTGGTGTGTCTCACTGGTAACAGAAATAAATTAGGACTGGGAAAAGGCAGAGGTTTAATAAGTCTGAGGAAAAGCAGGGATTAGTGGTCGAGTTAATTCCTGAATAGACATTGGAAGTGCCATCCACCAACGTGATCATATTCTAGTTCTGTTGAGATCAAAGGAAAAATGCATCAACTCCTACTTTCCCAGTGGGAGACTAAATGCTTAGAAATGAAATCGTTTCTTCCAGTGATTTAAGCAGAACTTAATCATCAGAGAGAATAAAAAGGTCACAACAGACTTGCAATGTAATCATAGTTTCTAGTACACCAACATGCCTCCAACAGATTGAAAGCCCAGCTTATACTGCTTTGTTACGTGGTGAGCAGTGTGTCCTAAAGAAGTTTTCTTATACCAGCCTGAACTTGGAATCTCCAGCCTTACCATGTTGGGCCAGCAAAGTCCCAAACACTTTTAAAGCTTGGGCTCAGGCCCTGAGCATGAAGTTCAGCTAGTGAGTGCCTGAAGCTTTAGGTCCCATATCTAATACCACAGGAAATCATGTATGGTAGAGCATGACACCTATATTCCAAGCACTTGTGAGGTAAGGACAGGAGGATTGGGAGTTCAAAGTCATCCTTAGCAATACTACTACATATAGCTACATACTGAATTCAAGGCTAGTCTAGGCTGCATGAGACCCTATAACAACAACAGCAACAAAGAGAGGCTGGAGAAATGGTTCAGCTGTTAAGAGCCCTGGCTGCTCTTGCAGAGGACCTGTGTCTAGTTCCCAGCACCTTCATGGTGGCTCACAACCATCTGGAACTCCAGTTCCAGGGAATCTGATGCCCTCTTTTGACCTCTTCTGGTACTGGACACATGTGGTACACAGATATACATGTAGGCCAATACTCATTCACATAAAATAAAAATAAAATAAATCCCTTTAAGAAACAGAAACAAACAAATAAAACCCATGGCTCAGACCTATTTTCTTCCCTTTTTCTTCTCACCCTGAGGATTTAACCCAGGACTTTGTATATGCTAGTCAAGTGCTCTACCACTAAGGTACCCTAGTCAGCCTCAGATGACAGTTTTTAAATGAAGACTTTGGAACCCCTTGAGTTGGAATGCCAGAGCTCTGTAATCCCCCTTTGCATTAGTTCCATATCCTATGAAGACTAAAGATGTACAAAATTGGCCACAGTGAGACAGGCTTTGGCCTGCCTTGTCTAGGCATTATCTTAGGCTGAGCAGCTCCCAAGGCTCTCTTTCATCCTCAGATGCAGGCTCCTAGAATAATGTCTCCACCCTCCTCCTCGCACCCAGAAGCTGTCCTTACACTTAACTGCTTCTAACACCTCCTTACCTGAGCCTGGCCATCAGTGCAAACCAGCCTCCCCAAACCCCACATTGTGCTGCCAGGGGGGTCAGCATAGAAGCCCTCATGGCTGAAGGTCTTCCTCTGTGGGGGTGTAGGTAAGTGGAAATGGGTTTTAAAAGCACAAAATTAAAATAAGATGAAAATATTCCTAGGGCTTTGCTTTGGCTCCTTAATCTTAATCCCCTTCTGCCGTGGCAAATGAAATCTTGTTTGGCTTTCATTCCTGAAGTAAAAGCCTAACAAATGTCAAACCAGCACCTCTCGCCCATCGTGCCCTTTTCATCCCACAAAGGTTCAAAGAAGGAGAGCTAATCTAGCCCAGCATCAGTTGGCATCACAGATCTCACAGGGACAGAACTCGAATCAGTATGTGTCCTCATAGTCTCCAAAGGCGATATTATAAAAGATAACCTGTGACTTTTCAGGGGAGACTTCTGGTCCCCTCCCATAACTAATTGCTACTTCTCCCTGAATTCAGCAGCTCAGTGCCAAAGACTTAAAAATATAGCTGAAGATACTCGGTGATGTCTAGTTGCTTTTTATTTATATAATTTCTCTGTAAATTAATGCTATTTTGTGGTCTTTAGGATTTTATGAGTCTATAGAAGAGCTATATCAATGAACAACTCAAGGTAACTAAGGCTTACTAAAACAAACAAACACAAAGGAATGTTACCAGGCATTTTGTATCAGTGCACAAGTCATAAATAACATTTTAATATAGTACCTAGTCAGTGCAGGACACAGGATAGGTCAAGACTATGAGACAGAGGGCTTGGTGTATGGTAAATTTGAGGGAAAACAAAGACTAATTTAGATGTTTAGGACTGTTATTGGAATATTTGTATTCTGAGCCTGAAAACAAAGAATGAAGGGGTAGTCCTCACCTAAGAAATGATGCATTCAGAATCTATAAATGATAGTCAGGCAGCTACTGGACAACAATGGGTGAGGCACACAGAGGTCTTTGGTCCGCGGGGAGGATGGAGACTGAAATTCCCAGTGGGGCTAAAACATGATGGACACATTGCAGGAACCAATGAAGTCACAGGCAACGAGGCAAAGCTGACTGTGACTCAGCAGCTGTGGAGCTGTGTCGAGCTTAGCACAGCTAGACTGGACCAGAAGGTCAACAGCAGCAAAGCTAATAAGTTTGCCAATTACTGGACTGGCAATTACAAGACTCTCTTTGACAGGCTGGGGACTGAGAAAAGCAGTTTTCTCAGTTTCTCCTAAGCCTGCAATTTTATTCTGTCACACTAGAGATAGTTCCCAGGGAGTCGACACTATTGTGCCCATTCTACAGAGATATATAGGTTTAAGTTGGACAGGATTAAAATACTTAGCTTTTGGGCACAGAGATATCAGCACATCTGTATATCTTGTAATACTATCCACAGCAGCCAAGTTACAGACTTGACCCAGTGTCCATCAACAGACATGCAGGTAAAGAAAATGGGGTGTATATGCATGGGGGACTTTTATGCAGCTACGGTGAGGAAGGAAACGAAATGGTTTGCAGGAAAATGAGTGGAGCGTGGTATTAAAGGGAACGAATCACATTTAGAAAGATAGAGATTGCATGTTTCTTTCAAACCCAGGGTTGGCATTTAAAAAACAAGACATGAAAATAGAAGGGGTCTACTAGAGATGAGGACAAGATGGTAGGTGGAGGAAGAAGGGAAAAATGGGGGGAGGAGAGTGTATGAATATGATTAAACTGTGATATGTAAGCATAAAAATGTAATGAAATCATTTTGTATAATTATATGGCAATGAGCAGGGAAGAAAGGCTAACTCAATGTCCATCTAACTTCAAAACCAGTGATCTCCCATCTGAAGAGCATCTCTCCTCACAGAGAAGGAAGAGGGAGAAGGGTAGGCTCTCTTGACTTCCGTGTGTCATCTGTCTTTAAAATACCAGTTGCTCCACCGCAGGAGTCTGTCCCCTGGCTTTTCTCCTAGCTCCACCTTTCATTATTTTTACATTTGAAGAATCATAAAGAGAAAACTCAGAAATTGTGTTTTTGCGCCTGTACTACCTTCTAAATATTTTATTTCTCCCTGTGAAATAAATGTCACTGTATCATTATATAAAAGAAAAACCTCACATAAACACAGAGAGGTTAATCAACTTGTCCAAGGTCACGAGGATTGGTTGTGCTAATTATCTTCATGCTGCTGCTAATTGCTCACTGCACACCACTGTACGCCTTCTTATTCACTGGCCTTTTTGTCATTGTTCATTCAAAAGTTCTTACTGAGTTTTTCGGATGTGTATATGTTCCAGGCTCTGTTCTGAGGACTGGGGATATTGAGAACAGAAACCCTTCCCCCAAGAAGCTTCAGCTCTAACAGTGGTGATGTGGTAAGTAAATGCTCACACGAAACTATAAGTGAATAAGTGTTTACTTTTATCTTGTGAGTGTGGGCTTTCAAAATCCAAACTTCCATGCTCTGGTTCAAGATAAGATGAACTAACTACATGCCAACTTTTTTCTCCCTCTGAGCACATCCCTAAAGTCTGAGCAGACTGCATGACACAACCCTTCAGGTCTCTGAAAATCAAGTATCAACAAGCGGATTAGGAAGAACACTGGAATTCAAAATATCACCAAACTGCTGGCTGTAATCAAGAACCCAAATCACAAAACACAGCACTCAAACCATCCAGAATACACTCCTAAATTACTCAGCATAAGAGAACCATAGCTATCCCAACTTATATATATATAATCAACAGGCACAAACAATATGATGGCACAGATGCTGGAATTATATGGCAAAGACTTTGATGCAGCTACTATAAAAATAGTTAAATGGGCAATCAGGAACATGCTTGACAAAAAGCATTAGCAAAGGCAGAAAAGACATGAAGAAAAACCAAGTGGAAATTTCAGAAGTCAAAATATAAAGCAGCCAGAATAAAAAATACCCGGTGGCTGAGGATATACTCAGAATGCTGATGACAGAGAAAGCTGAGAACTTTCAGGCTATTTAAGTGGGCCTCCTCCTCTTGAGGCCCAGATTCTGTGCTAAAGTCCTAGGACCCTAACTTGGAGTACCCAAGTTCTTGAAACCACAGCCTGGGGCTGAAGAAATGAATCAGTTGGTGAACTACTTGCATGCACAAGGACTTGTGTTTAATTACCAAAACCCAGGAGAAAACATCTGGTCACAATGGTATATTTCTCATGACTCCAGCACTGGGGACACAGACACAGGAAAATCTATGCAGACTGATGGCAAGCCTAGCCTACATTAGAAAGTTCTAGTCCAATAAGACACCCTGTCTCAGAAAACTGAAAACTAAAAAAAGGATAGAGAGTACCTGGGAAGAACAATCGAGGTTGTTTTCTGACCTCCATGTGTGTACACTTACATGCACACATATGTACACCTGCATGCACACACTCACATGGAATCCCACAACCCTGGCACTATGGATAAGGAATATTTTAAAATATATTTTTTTATTGAGAGAGAGAAAGAAACAGATGGGAGCTCATGTGAAGGTCAAAAGACAACTTTGGGGAGTTGGGTCTCTCCAGCTACCACTGAGTGTGCTCTGGGGAGCAGACTCAGACCCTCAGACTTGGTCGGAAGTCTGTTGAAGATCTCACCAGCCCATCTTCTTACAGCTACACTTTTTACTTGTTCTTTTCTTTGCTCTCTCTTGCCCTTTCCTTTCTTTTATGACCTGTTGGTGGAATATATCTCTAGTGACAATGTACAATAATACAACTGTTTTTAAAAAGTAGGTTGGCCACATAGTATAACTTCAACATATTCCTACCTACTCTATGACTCTCCATTCTATTTTGGGTATTTGCCCAGGAGAAATGGAAATATAAATCAACAAAATAGCATCAACAAAAATTTTTAGAACATTTCTATTCCTCATAAGTCCTAAAGGGGAAACAACCTCAATGTCCATCAACAGAAAATAACGAATTCTGATCTATTTATAAATGATATAATACTTAGCTTTAAGGGAAGCATATTGTTGATAAATATGACAATATGAATGAATTTCAACACTGTACATTGTACACATGGAGGTCAGAGAACACCCTCAAGTGTTGTTCCTCAGGCACTGCCAACCTTTTAAATTTCTTTTAATTTTTTGAGTTATGATGAGCGATAGAAGCCAGATACAAAATAACACAAATCTTATAACTGCTTTTATATATATACTCCACCCCTCAAAAAAACAAAATTGAGATAGAGTAAAAGAAATCAGAATCATGGTTGCTTTTGTAGGTAGTATAGGTGGGTGGTTAGAGTGGACACAAAACATTTCATGGTGTTCAAGTCTCTCATTTGTGCTGGTTATTTTTTATTGTCAACTTGACAAAACTTAAAGTCACCTGAGAAGAGGTAACCATGCTTACAGAACTGCCTATATCAGTTTGGCCTGTGGCTGTGTCTATGAGAAATTGTACTGGTTGATGATGGATGTGGGAAGGCCCAGCCCACTGTGAGCAGTACCATCCCTAGGCTGGTGGGTCTGGGCTATCTATAGAAGAAAGCAAGTTGAGCATGAGCTAGGGAATCAGCCAGTAAGCAGCATTCTTCCATGGTTTCTGTTTCAGTTCCTGCTTGACTTCCTGCCCCGACTTGCCTCAATGGTGGACTGTGACCTGGAAATGTAAGATTAAATAAACCTTTTCCTCCTCTCAATTGCTTTGGGTCAGAATGTTTTGTCACAACAACAGAAAAGCATCCTAGAGCAACATCTGCATTACATATGACACATTTATTAAAACTCATTCAATAAGTGCCTAAGATGCATGTTAGAATGCTGAATGTGCTTTGTTTACATTGGAATGTTATCTTTAGGGAATATTTTAAAGACTCTGATCATCATGAAAAGCCAATATTTTCTGTCAACTTTTGAAATATCTTACTATGGAGTATTAGCATGTATTTTCTAACTTCAAATTTATAAGCCCTAACTTAATATGGTAAGACATCTCCCAAGGTTTCAGCCATCTTTACTTCTTCAAATAGTCCTTAGTGATAGCTCTTATTGTCGTTTGATTTATATTCAGAATACGTAGTGGTAAAACTATCTCTCCTCTTGAGTTTGCTTCAACTCAATAAATACTAGGAACACAATGTTGTACAGAGCGAGAGAGTAGGTGATAGAGGAATTCTAAGACAGGTGACATACAGTCCCTCCTGTCACACCATGTGGCATGAGATAAAACATCAAACAACTATATTACAGGCAGAATATGTTTTTAGAGATTTTAATACAGTATCAACAAGATGTGAAACCTGTACAACACATCAACACATTTGAGAAATGTTAGCTTTTTTTTTTTTTTTTGGTTTGTCAAGACAGGATTTCTCTGTGTAGCTTTGGCTGTCCTGGAACTGACTTGGTAACCCAGATTGGCCTCAAGCTCACCTGCCTCTTCCTCCCAAGTACTGGGATTAAAGACTTGTACCACCAAGCCAGGCAATAGCAGGACTTTTAAACTCCCCTTTTAATCCATTTGGTGTGCTGTTGAAAATGTAAACTAGCAGACATGGATTAATTCATTCTTCAACTCTTCATTTTATTTGTCTTAATAATGTTAGCAAGTGATCCTAAAATTCATCAGCATATGAGGTAGAAACACCATGTGCCAAGAAGACTTGCCTCTACAAGGAGGAGAGGGTGGAGGAAAATTGTGACAATGCTATAAATACATGAAAAAATATTCAACAACCTGTCCAGAAAGGAAAAACAAATCAAAACCACACTTAAATTCCAGGTCACACTAGTCAAAAGAGCTGTAAGAAAATAAGAATGTTGGCTAGGCTGCCATCTTTGTGGACTTTCGATGAGAATCTAAGTTAGGCCAGCCATTATGAAAATCGGTACAGAGGGTCACCCAAAACTAAAATTAAAACAATCCAGGTGTACCACTCCAGAGCATGTGCCTGAAGGAAGCCATGGTCAGCAAACCACAGAGATATCTGTGCATCATGTTTATTGTAGCAGTATTTGCACAAGCTATGACATGAAGTCTTAAAGTGCCTGTCGGCAGATGAATGAATAAGGAGAACAGGGTGCATATCTACACAATGGGCTTGTATTCATCCCTAAAGGAGAGCAAAATTATGTGATTTGCAAGAAAATGGAGGAACTGAAGATCACCATAATAAGTGAAACAAGCTAGACTCGGAGAGATGAAAACCACCTATTTTCTCTCCTATGCATAATATAGAATATATATAGCATTACAGTAGAAGTAGGAAATTTGGGAAGAAGACGGGACCAGCAGGAAGTGGACACATGAGGTTAATGAGAGTGTATATGATTAAAACACATTTTATACATGCATAAAAATATGAGACCAATTATTTTGTACAATTAATATGTACTAGTTAAAAGGGGGAAATTGAGGCAAGAAAGCCTCTACATTTGGAAATCTGGTTTCCAAGACTGTTGTTTTCTGAACATCATTATTGAAATCCCATGGTGCTGTTCGGCTTCCCACCGGAAAAAGGTGTTCATCAAATCTGGGACACAGTGCTTTGTGAGGATGCTCTCTCGTCCTCCTACAGACTCTATTGCTCCTTTGTGACCTAGACAGTGTCATTTTCAGTTCCTGTTTAGCATCAACAAGGTGAGTATTGCTTTTAGCCCTAGATTCCAAAAGTGAAATCCTAAAAAAAAAAAAAAAAAAAAAAAAAACCAACTCCAAAATTAAACAGATTTCTAAAAATGGATCCTGTATCACTCAAAGGCTGTCTCTCAGGAAATGGGCGGGAATAAAATTCTCTCCTCCCTGCTCCCCTCCTCTGGCCCCCCTTGAGCCATCACTGTTGATGGATTGGAGAAGTCAGCTTGTCAGGTCTTATTGGGTGCTGCCTAATGTAAGTCCACACTGAGGCAGTGAAAATCTGTTTGCAGTCAGCTCTTTTAATGAGTTCCAGCAAACAAGAGGACAGCAGATTATTCAGTAAGATGCTTCCTCCAATGCAGTGGGGGGAAATAGCTGATGACAGAGGCTTGACATATAAGAGATTTTTAAACTACGAGCAGCTCTTCCTTTACAGAAAGAAACTGAAAAAGAAAAGTTTCCCCAGGGACCTGGGCATTCTAAGAAACATTACACTTCTGTGTTTGTGATTTAAAATTGACCTAGACTCCACTCTCTTTATTAAGGAGGTCAGATCTCTTCCACAGAAAGCCCCCATTCCAATGGGGTCCTATGGATCCTTGGCATTCTGTGTGTTCAGAACTCTGGTGTATTCATACTGTTGCTTCCTCTTAATATCAATCCAAAGAGCGCTCCTCTGGGAGGTTACCCAGCCTTCCACCTTACCTGAAGGATAACAATGTGTGATGTGATCAAAAGTGCTGGAGATACATCACACAACACAAAGCGACTAGCACTTCAGAGAACCCAAGCAGAATTCCCTAGAGGTTTCAGAATTCTAAAATTATTTCCATTGCACTGACTCCACATTATTAAGATCAAATTAGGTGCCAGGTTCCTGAAAACAGCATTCCTGTCTTTCCAGATATCCTAGAGTCACTGTGGTGTGAGGCTTATGATGCTAAGTGCTGCTGGGTATGAGGATATGAAGATGATGACATTATCGACTCATAACACCGAGGCAAATTTCTTAAAGTGAGCCGACAAGGTGGAATATTCTGAGAAGAATTATTATGTATGTAGTCCTTCATTCACATTTGCGGGTCTCGCCACATAGAATAATACAGAGGTGGCAAAACATGAATTTCAGAAGTCTGGATAGCAACAGCCCAGTTAAACTGATTGTATGATTAGACCAAGGAACATTTTCTCTCTGGTAGGAATTAATAAAGTAATGGCTACCGAAGGCCTAAATAGCATAAGGCTTTTCATGATTAATCTTGCATAGAAGGTTAACCATTTTCTTCATTTCTGACCTTCAAGACAAGTAGCATGTAATAAACAGCTTGTGGTTTGAATGAATGTGAATGATTGTATAAATAAAAGAACATACGAATGAATGAGTTAATGAGGGCTTATTGAATTATGGTTTTCTACTTCTCATAATAGGTCGTACTTGTGCCAGTAAAAAACACAGTTTAGCAAATTTTGGCTTTGTGCTCTAAAAATAAAATAACCTTGGGCTGGGCGTGGTGGTTTACATCTGAGACTCCAGCGCTTAGGAGGCTGAAGCAGGAGGATCTGAAGTTTGAGGCCAGCTTAGGCTACATAGTGAGACTTCATCTCAAAAGGTGTGTATAGGGGAGTACCTGCTCGGCTAACCTGAGCTCCAATCTCCCAAATGAGCAATTTAACATTATATGAGCTCAAGGAAAGTATCATAAAATGTGACTTCCTGCCCCTGTTTCAAAGCAAAGGAAACCAATAATGGTGATGTCATAAGAGCAAGTCCTTTTTAGGCCATTATAAATTTCTTCTCCATATCCAGAGAATTTTAACTAGAATATCTGTGGAAACACAGGGGTTTATCCCTATACAACATTGTCATGTTCTTTATATAATTTATGTACTTTTTCTATAGTATCTACTTAGAAACCATCACCTTGTCTCTAATGATTAGAGTCCACAGCCACTAACTAACAGCCATGAAGTCTTTTCTGTAGATTAAAAAACACTCAAACCTGACATCTGAAGTCTCAATAGAGAACTGGTGACCTAAACCAACACTAGGCCAGGAACTCTATGATGCTAAGAATTTATCAAATTTGCTTCTGTATCTACAGCAAGAGTAATAGAAGGCTATATATAAAATAGATTCTTAATAGATGTCTGCTAGTTGTTAAATAGAAGGATGGAGCTAGAATGCAGATTTGGGAAATAAATACTGTGCAAGGTTAGAGAGAAAGAGCAGCATAGTGTGAGGAAGTGAAGGCAGAGAGGCTCTGTGGAGGACAGGGATGTGGGTCTTGTTGAAATAACGGCTGTGCTAGGAGTCAGCACAATACCATGCATCTCATTCAGAAAATCAGTGAGCTCTCAGCAACCTCAAATCTTACAGGATGTTGTCTATCCTTTAGCATCTTACTCCTTGGGAAGGACCCTGGTGGATTGGACCACTCACTTCGTGGTCACAATGACACTTGGCAGGTGCAATATAGGATTCTTTGTGATGAAATACTATGAGAATTCCATAGATAAGAGGAATATGAGATTTTTTAAAAAAAAGAGTAAAACACAGGGTCGGGCGGTGAAGGCAAGCAAGGTAAAGATGGGAGGGAAGAAATCTGCCAGTTGAAAGAATCACTTCTCTCTCTCATTTGAAGATGAAGGGTTCATTTGTCCTCTAGAGATGGATGCCATGTGTTTCTCTTTAAAAAAGCACATGATTGAGAGGACTGGCTAATCCAAGGGTACCTGTTATTATACTTCTGCCGTGTTCATGCATGTTGGGCCTACTTGTACAATTTTGGTTCTTTACGACTGAAAAGAAACCCATTTTATATATTCTTCACCTCTACATATGATGTTAAGACCTTGATGTGACCAATAACAAATTCTAATTAGTCCGGGTACTTAAACTATAAAATAGATATAGAAAAACTGCTAAATGTGCAAAGACAGAAAATAAGAAGAGTGAGTTATCGTCAAAAGGGGAGGTTAGGAAAATGACTAATGCTTCCTATGTAATAAGCACGTTTGAATTCTCTCTCTCTCTCTCATGTGTCTGTGTGTCTGCGTGTCTGTGTTTGTGTATGTACGTGTGTTCACTCAACTTTCATAGAAAACCCTCAGTCTAGGAACACTGCCCTTTTACAATTGGCAAATCTGGTAAGGACAATTTTGCATGAATGCTAGTAAATGGTTATGGATCCCAAGTCTACAGAATGTATGGTCAGGTAAGA